GTTATAGAGCGTTTTGTTTTGTGTCTGGAGCACGGCAAGGGCGTAACTGCACAGGTGATGGTTGCTGGCAGCCTGTAGAGGGCACTCCTAAAGCTTCATGAATAGCGGGATGAGCAGTGTGAGATTAGAGCTGGATAATGTAAGCAGAGGTCTGATCCAGGCTCTCTTAAAGCTGCTTCCTCTTTCATTTACTCGGCAGGTTTCTCTTCACTCCTTGGTGACATGCAGCCCTCCAACCACAATTACTACATGTACCAGCAGCAGCAGCAGCAAGGCCCCTCCTCAGTGGGTGCTGCTCCCCCACTCCACACTCCAACCCCAGAGGGTTGCCCATCCCAAGGAGGGAAGCAGCAGGGTGGTGAAGGTTATGGCCCTCCGCCAGTGATGTCCATGCACCCGCCCCCGATGCAGCATGGAGGTTACCACCAGCATCAACAGCATCACCCACACTCCCACCCACAGCAGCAGCCACACCAGCAGCAGCAGCAGTCACAGGCTTCAATCAACAACGCTGGCTTTGGTGAGTCAGGGGTGATGGAAAGCACGGATGGGGAAAAGGGAGCAGTGAGGAGCCCCCAGACAGAAAGCCCAGAAGTGAGCGTTCCCTAAGTAGTGCCTACTTGTGTGTAGAAAATGGGGGAAAGTCAGATAGGCTTGAAATCTGAGAAGGAAATTGCTTTCTTACCTGGAGAATGGAGGATATATCACCCTGGGTTTGGGATTCTGTTAAGGGATGCAGCATAAAATCAGGGCCTTAGTGAAAAAGGAGATACTGCCCCTGGTTTTCAAGGGAGAAAGGATTTCTAGCTGCTGTAGCATCAGGCTCTTTGGTGAAGAGGGGCCAATCTTTATAGGAGTGGAGAGGAAGGGTCAACTGTGTTGTATTAATCTTGTCTCTGTTTCATTCCAGCGTTTCCCCCTGATTGGTGCTCCAACATTGATTCCCTGAAGGAAAGCTTCAAGATGGTAAACCGGCTGAACTGGTCTAGCATTGAGCACTCCCAATTCTCAGGTCAGTGTTGGCCTAGTGACTAAGGCTAGTGACTCAGTGACTAGGGCTGTAGTCTAGAACATGCAAGTGCTGTGCAGGGATCTATTTTTCAGTGTAACTGTGGCAAGTGCCTGGATTTCTCAGTGATTCACCTCATTTTTAAAAAGAGGTGTCCTACTTCATGGGTTCTGTTAAAGATCCTGAAGTGCTTGAATGAACACTGCAGGATTTGGAGCAGGGAGAATTAAGTCATGAAGGTATGTCAGAAAGCTAACTGAGCTTTTTCCTTCCAACTCTTCCTTGCCCTACCTGAGTCAGTGTGACAGTATCTTAGATGTGGAGCTTTTCAGGAGTGTGGCGACAGATTTGAAACAATAAAGTTTGGTTTGTGAGGAGGAGGTAGGATTTAGGGACAGAAGACAGAAATTCTTTGCGGGGAAGATCACGGTGTGACTGCTGTCTTTGACGCTCTCCTCTGTCCCCTGCAGAGCTCATGGAGAGTTTGCGCCAGGCTGAGCGGAAGAACTGGACGCTGGATCAACACCATATTGCCAACCTCTGTGACTCCCTTAATCACTTCCTTACCCAGACTGGTCAGCTCCCTCATCTGGTTGGCCCACAGCAGCCCCCTCGAATCTCTGATTCTTGTGCCCTGAACAGTGGCAAACAGGAGCAATCCATGAACCAAGGTAATTAGGAGGAGACTAAAATGACATGCAAATGAAGGCCCAATTCTGTGAGTATCCTGAATTACTTGCAGCCTTACCAGGCAATACAGCACTGAGCAGCTCAGAGCTGTTCATAGGAACTCAGCCTTCTCTGGCTTTAAAGAACTGGGATGTCTGATACCCGTGGTCTGGACAGACTGCTGTTATGTGATGCATGCTATTGACAGGCAACCTCCAGGCAGGAATATATTTAAAAGGCAAACCTGGAAGAGGAGAAGAGGTGTTTTTTTAGGTGACAAACAGAGAGGAATGGCAAGATAGAGAGTTTGCTATTCCAGATGGCAGGAACAGTAAAAGAAAAAGCTCTTGCACCCTTGTTGGAGAAATACTGTAGAGAGGAGAAGGGGATACATTCTGAGGAGGGGATATGGTGGTCCTGATAGAACTGTAATGGTGTGTGTAATCTAGTACTGAACTAAGTGGATGATATTGAGCCAGCTTGTGGTGTTTCTGGATGAAAATTTTCTTCTCTTACAATAATATAGAAACTCCTGCTGGTTTCAAGAACAAGATCCCTGACCAAGCTATAGCTTGGAGTTAGGACTCAACAGCTGAACATCTCCTCAGTATCCTGTGGGTCTGAGTGAGTTGCTCTGTGGCTGAGCTGCCCTCCAGTCAGGGCCAAGACTTCTGACCTGAACATTAACACTTGTTTTTTTTGTTTTCTTAATTAATTTCCTTTCACAGTGAACTCCTATGGTCAGCCCCAGCCTCCCCATCTCTTCTCCGGGCCATCTCCTATGTACCAGATTTCTACCCAGGACTCTCCGGGATATAATCGCCCAGGTAAGGGGTGATGTTAAGGCAAATTACATCAATGAATATTAAAGAACTGATTCCCAACCCCTTGGTGCATTTCTCCCAAAGCACTTAGTAATCCAGTGGAGCACTGTGGGTGGAGAGGGAGCATGGACTGCAAGGGACTCTCCATTCAGGGCTGTGTTATAGCTCTGGGAAGGTTTAGGATTTCAAAGGCCTGATTTCTTTCACTTCACATAAGCAGTCTTCTAGCTTAGCCTTACCCTCAGTTAGTTGTTCAAAGACAGCTGTTCGTGAGAAGCTCTGTTGATGAAGTAGTTTGTGCTCTATCAGCAGTCAGCTATGAGGTAAGTAAAGGAGGATGAAAGGTAACTTCTGTAGAAAATGCTGTGGAGAATTTCACAGCAGAACATTCCCAGACACTGGTAGATGCTGACAGAGATTAATGCCTGTAGTGTTCTTGCTTGTTAGACTGTTGGAAAGGAGAAGGCCCAAATCACTTTTGATTTCTTTTGCCCAAGGACCCACTGTGAAGAAACATGTAGTTTTAGAATCTAACTCTCCTCTTTCCTTTTTCTTCTTTTTTCTTGTTTTTGGCTCAGCTCATCATCTGGTCCCTCGGCCTCCAGGGCCTCCTCCAGGCGCCAATGAGGAAATCCCCGATGATTTCGACTGGGACTTAATCACCTAGCGAGTTACAGACTTGATAGCCCGTCCTTTTTGAAGGACGTGGGAGGGGAGGGGGACATGGGGTCAATGGTGTCAGCACCACCCTCCCCAGCCTCCCTGCCTTGCCTGTATATAGATATATATTCTCTATCTCCGCCAGAGAAGCCACCGCAAGATGCTGCCGAAGATAATCCTTCCTTGCGTCCTGTTTTATCTTCTTTTCTTCTTTTGTTTATTATTATTATTGTTATTATTATTATTACCAATAATTGAGCACAGCCCTCCCCCTCCTCCGGTGGCCTCAGACGCATCGGATCGGCTCTTTCGTGTTGTGCAGTGCCCTGTGGAGGGCGGGAAGATGGGTCCTTGGTGCCATGAAAAGACCTTGGAAGGCTGAATCCTCGAGTGCATCTTTCTCTGCCTCCGTTATTTTGCGTTTAACAATCCCTCTTTCCCTTCAAGGTGGCCGGTGAATCTGTCGTATTGGCTACTGGAGTGAGAGAGCCTAGTGGACCCTGGGAGCCTGTAGTTATGTTGTTTCGTAAATGTTGTAAAGGTCAGGGGGCTGAAGGGACACTGGAGGGGTGATCTTAGCTCTGTGAACTTTGTTGCACCAGCAGGAACAGAAAGAAAATAAGTGGTGTTCCCAAGTACAAAGAGAGGGTAATCCCTGAGGTAGGGAGAGCTGAGCTGAGCTGGGAGGGCAGACCTGAGTTTGGAGAAAGGAGAATGTAGCAGATACGGTGTTTCAGCAGAGAAGTTGGGTTTCAGAATGTGGTCCCATCTGTGAAGACTGAGAGGTTTTGAGGGAATCCTGACCCATTTCCTACACTGCCTTTTGCAGTCTCTAGGTGAAGCCTACATACCTATCAGGTAAAAGAAGCAGTCAGGGGTGTCACATGTGATTCAGTAAATTCTGTTCCCCAGAGCTTTTCATTTCACCCCACACCCTTTCAAGCCCTTTTTCAAAATATGTAGTGAGGCTCTCCCTTTTATATGCAAATTTGGAAGTTTTCTCTCATCAGTATTTGTCCAATTGTTATTTGATCCTCCACCCCTCATATTTCTTTGGAGGCTGTCCTTGCCTGTGGCTGAGAGTGCCAGCAACAGGAGTCTGGCTGCGTAGGTGCACATCCTCCGTCAGTGGTTCCCACTTGGTGAATGGGCTTGTGGTGGGCAGAGTGGGGCTGAACTGGGGGGCTGCTGGCCAAGGGCTGAACCCTCTGGTCAAGGACTGAGAGGGCCCTGCAAGCAGTTTTTGTAAGAGGGGCATTAGGGGAGAGAGGGTGAAGCAGGGCAGGGTTTTGAACTGACCAACCAAAGAGTGTAGTATGAAAGGGAGGAAGGTGTCTTGGACCCCTTGCAGTTCAGCTGGGGAGATGATGTAACCTATTGTAAATCCTGAAGGATGAGCTTTGTCAGCATGTGCAAATCAGGAAGGTGGGAAAGATGCAGGAATGGGAGTGAGCATTTAGGTGCTTCCTCCCCAAAGTTGTGGCCTGTGTTCCCCTTCTTTTCTTGTGTGGCTCCGTTCTGTCAAACCTCTTGTTTCTTCTTAATATTTTATAAAGCCTCCCCCCAGCCCTTATTCCCTGTTTACCAGTGAAGGGAACAAATGTTGAAATAGACTATCATGGCTTCTTGACAGACCTGGAGCACAGGAGTAAAGTAAACCTCTCTTCTGACTGCAGGAAAGTGGGGAACTAGCACTGCTTTTTAAATTTGCTGTAGGGATAAACCAATTGGAAATTGGATTGTTGTCAGGGAAGCAGGGTCTCATGACATTGGAAGGGGGGAACAGCACTTTTCTTTTTTTCTTTTTTTCTTTTTTTTTTTTTTTCCTTTTTTGGGATTTTTTTTTTTGTTTTGGATTTTTTTTTGTTTTGTTTAAGTGTGAGTTTGGGGGGGAGTTCGTCATTGAGCATTTCCAAGAGAAATGAGGAATCCCAGACAGCTTCAACATGGAGTCAGCTGTTATCTCTGCTGCCTCAGGATGGGAATGATACAGCTTTGGAAGCATGTGTGATAGGTTTCTGTGGAAAGTGGCACCGGTGACAATGAGAGAACTTATGGCAGGTGCCAGTTAGTGTTTTGCAGTGGACATTACTGAGAGCCGGCCCTGTGGAAGTCTGAAAACACCACCGGAAGCAAACCAAACCAAGATGGCTCCTTCTGCATATCCAAGTGCTCCTCATTTGCATATTTGCCTCATTTGCGTATTAAGTTGTGCCTCATTTGCATATGTAAATACATGCCGGTCAGTGTGCAAATTAGCCTCGTTCCTCTGCCCCTGAAATCAATGTGTGTTGTTAGTGCGTGGTAAGACATCGATGGGTGGGTGTGGAGCTCTGCGGGTGCGCTGGCAGCGGCCTGCAGGCAGGGCAGGGGGGCCAGCCTGGCCCACAGAGGGGTCGTGCAGGCCCCTCCAGCCCAATGTGGCCCCCAGTGCTTTGTGTCAGTGGTCAGGGAGAGAGGGGCGTGGTCTCACGAGTTTATTTTTGTGCATGCTTTCTTAATAAAAAGAAAAAGTGAATGTTTATGGTTTAACTGTTTTGGTGCCAGTATTGATTTTTTTCTTTCAGCGGCGCCTGTCAGGATGGCTTGGTTCCCACCTTAGAATTTGGGTGTGGACGTGGCTAAATGGATGTTCTTGAGATGGAGACTTTTTAGGATTTTAAGAGCTGAAGGTTCTCTCAGCTGGCTGTTCTCAGGGCGGTGAGATCTGGAAATCTTTCCATTCATGCTCACCAGAAACGCAGAGTGAAAACTCTACCAATGCTTAGTGTCTATTTGTCTTACTGTTTGTTGGCCTTTCTCTTTTAAGGAAGAACTAACACAGAAAAGCAGATTTTTAAACTGCTTCTGTAGAGTACCTAGTAAATGTATTTCTGCTTTTTAGGAGCAGGAAACATTGAACCTTGGGAACACCCCAAATAGCCTGACTGGATGAAACTTTTTCTCCACTGGAAGGACATAAGAAACACATTTCTCTTGTAAGGAGAGCTTGACATGACTGAGCCACAACATGGTCATTCTCTACCTTCTTGGGGTCAGATTGGAGGTTATCACTTCTCAGTTTCAGGGTTTTGCCAAATGGCTGATAGTAGTCCAGCAGTCACCTAATCTGGGTCATCAGTGACTGCAGCTGCTCAAATTCTGCTCATGTGCCATCTCAGAATACAGTAGGTACATTTGGATAATCTCAAACTGCTTCCTAAAAGAAATATTTGGGACTCTGGTTGTGCAGGGAGTGTTGGGGAGACAGCAAGTGTGCACATGCTACTGAACATAGGTACAGCATGTGCATTGACCAGTTAGTACCATACAGTGATGTATGTGCCAGGACAAACAAATAGATGGGGTATCTGCCAGGGCACAAAAGTCAGTTCAATGCAGCTGACTGGGGCAAGTGCTGTTCTAGTGCCTTGCTGTAAGGAAATGTAGTAGTACTCTAGGGAATCTCCAGGTATTCCTACACACTTCAGACCCCTAGTAGAGTCAGAGGAGTGATGTGATGACCTTCTCAGGACCAATATCCCAGGTAGTTTTATCTGCACTTTTATCAGACACAGGAGATGTAGAACACAGACAAATATATGCAAATAAAATAACATTCTTATCTCAACTGAGAGGTTCAACTACATGATTCCCACCACAAATCTGTAGCCAGCCCTGCTTTCTTAAAATAGTCTGTGTAGGTTAAAATACTGTGTCTTCTGCTTCACCAGTCATCCCTCAGATTATTGCTTTTGGTGCTTCCAACTTCCCATCTCTCTAGTGTAGGATATAAAGGGGGTTGTTTATCTGTCATGAGCTGAATGCTTGCAGTGTCCTGGGTTGGAGCTGCAGATTAATCAAACGTATTGGAGCAAAACCACCTGCTAAGCGGAGAGTGATTGATGTGCAGCGCTATAGCTTGTTCCTTCTTCAGTGGTGATAGGAAGTCCTGCATTACAAGGTGCTGCTCAGGTTCTTGTCTGCTGAAGTCTGGCTTCTGTGAAGGGTTGAAGATGTGTGTTCCTCACTAAAGGCACTTTCCAAGATTCTTTGCACCGATTGCCGCACCTTTGCCCTGAAGTCCCGTCCCACAAAAACATAAAGTAGGGGGTTGATGCAGCTGTTGGCATATGCAAGTGCTGTAGAGAGGTGGTCCCACAGGATCAGTGACTCCATCAGCCTTGTTCGAAGGCCAGGGACAACGGAGAGCATCCCAACTACATGGTATGGAGCCCAGCAAATGAAGAATGCAGCTACCACACACACAATTGTTCGCAGTGTCCTGTTGCGTGACTTGTGAAACTGGTTTGCGTGTGTTCTGAAAACAATGAGGGCGTAGCAAACTGCCATTATGCCAAAGGGCAGCAAAAAGCCAAACACAGCCCTAGTGATGTTTATTACTGCTGAGGCATGGGGTACAGAATCATTGCCTTCATTGATGTCTCCCCACAAGTCACTACCATTGTAGGTTGAGTAGTCCCATAACTCATTTACAGATACATTTACAGGATCATCTATGTAATCATCAACTCCAGAATTGTACCCACACTCTGTTTTGCCTTCGTAAGTGCTTGTCTCACGGTAGTAGAAGACAGGGCAGCAGAAAATGAAGGCCAGCATCCAAATGCCACTGCATATGAGCGATATAAATTTCACTGTTCGGTGGTTCTGACACCAGACAGGTTTCATCACCAGGAGGCACCGATCAATGCTGATGGCCACGAGTAGGAAGACACTAGCAAACATGGTGAAGATTATGACTGATGGAATGACTTTGCAGAGGAACCAGCCGTAGGGCCAGTGTTCATGAAGGGCCAGGTGAACAATGAAAAATGGCAAGGACAAGCAGCACATGATGTCAGCCACAGCAAGGTTTAGGAACCAGACAGTGTTCACAGACCTTTTCATTTTCAGACCAGCTACCCAGATCACCAACCCATTGCCTGGGATACCTATGATGAAAACGATGGTGAAGACAGCAATGGAGACAATTGATTCTGATGCATAATACACAGCAGCCTGTTCCTGTGAACTGCTATTGCCCAGGGCTTGAGGCATTCTGCAGCTGTAAAACAGAAGGGAAATTAGTAGCAATTCACATCCTTGGTTCTCGTTAGCCACGCCAGCGCAGGGCGGGGCTTTGCTCCGGCGAGCGGAGGGGAGATTAAAAGAGGGTTCTGGGGAGCGCGGAGAACGGGAGCGGGCCAACGGGGGCATGGCACGGCCGTTCGTGCAGGCAGGGTCGCAGGCTTCCTCCTGCTAGTGCAGTTTTTAGTTTGTTGCTTGTTTTGTTTTTGTTGGTTGGTTGGTTAGGTTTTGTTTTGTTTTTTGTGGAGTGTTTGAGCCTATCAGTGGCTCCAGAGGCCGCTGCAAAAGAAGCCTGCCTGCAGTGTAAATAGGTGAACGACCTCCTTTCGCTGGTGGCCGAGCTTAGGGAGGAAGTAGAAAGGATAAGGAGTATTAGGGAAAATGAAAGGGAAATGGATTGGAGGAGTTCCGGCGTTCCATCCTTGAGGGAGGCCCACCGGGAGTCAGAGGACTCCCATGCCTCCCACTGTCAGGTGACAGGAGGACACCTGGTGGATGAAGGGGAGTGGAAATGGGCTCCTACTTGGAGAGGTAATAATAAAAATTCCTCCCAACCCCTATCCCTTAGGCAGGTGCCACTTCAGAATCAATATGAGGCCCTGGATCTAGAGGGTCAGCCAGAGGATGTAGAAGAAAATGATCTGCCCAGTGAGCCTTCCCATTGCACGTCATCTGTGAGTGAACACCACCTCTAACATCAAAAAGAAAAGAAGGGTAGTTGTAGTGGGTGACTCCCTTCTGAGGGGAACAGAGAGCCCCCTGTGCTGGCCAGACGTATCCCTCAGGGAGATCTGCTGCCTTCCTAGCGCATGGGTATGGCACATTACTGAGAGACTTCCTGGGCTGATTTGGCCCTCTCATTATTACCCACTGCTGATACTCCAAGCTGACAGTGATGAGATTGAAAAGACAAATGTCAGAGCAATTAAAAGAGACTTTAGGGCACTGGGTCAAGTGGTTGTTGATAGGGCAGGAGGACAGGTCCTTTTGGTGGCAGAGAAAAACGTTGAAAGGAATGAATAGGAGAGCTCACACTATCAACAAGGGGTTCAAGGGTTGGTGTCATCAGCAGAATTTTGGGTTCTTTGATCATGGGGCAACTTTTATGGCACCTGGCCTGCTGGAACTGGATGGGCTCCATCTCTCTGTTTTGGGAAGAAGGATTTTAGCTCATGAACTGGTGGAACTCATTGCAAGGGCTTTAAACTAGGTTTGAAGGGGGAAGGGGATGCAGCTGGGCTCTCTGGAAGCAGGCCCAAGGGTGGTAAGCCTGAGTTAGGAGCAAAATCAGCAGCCCAGCTGAGGTGCACACTACAGGGGTAACAAACAAAAAGAGCTGGAGGCCATGGTGCAGCAGCAAAGCTGTGATGTAATTGCCATCATAGAAACATGGTGGGATGACTCACATGGCTAGGGCACTGCACTGGATGGCTACAAGCTCTTCAGGAGAGATGGGAAAGGGAGAAGAGGTGGAGGGCCAGCCCTTTATCTTAGGGAGGCTTTTGATGCCATGGGTATTGAAACTAGTGACAATGAAGTTGAGTCCCTATGGGTGAGAATTAGGGGGAAGACCAACAAGGCTGGCATCCTACTGGGAGTCTGTTATTGTCCATCCAGCCAGGAAGAAGAAGTGGACAACTTATTCTATAAGCGGCTGGAGAATGTTTCAGGATCACTGGCCCTTGTGTTCTTGTAGGTGACTTTAACCTACCAGACATCTGCTGGGAACTTAACACAGCAGAAAAGAGGCAGTTCAGGAAATTCTTAGAGTGTGTGGAGGAAAACTTTGTGTGGCAGCTGCTGAGTGAGCCCACCAGGAGAGGGGCTATGTTAGACCTCTTGTTTGCAAATAGAGATGGGCTGGTGGGAGATGTGGTGGTTGGAGGCTGCTTGGGGGATAGTGATCATGAAATTATAGAGCTCTCCATATTTGGTGAAATGAGGAGGAACATCTATAAGACTCTTGCATTGGACTTCCAGAGGGCAGACTTTGGCCTATTTAGGAGATTTATTAAGAGTTCCTTGGGAAGCAGCCCTTAAAAACAAAAGAGTTCTGGAAAGGTGGGCCTGCTTCAAAACAGAGATCTTGAGGGCACAGCAACAGACATCTTTTTGCCCCTGTGTGGTAAAAGATGAGTCAACAAGGCAAATGTCCAGCCTGGATGGGCAATGAGGTTTTAAAGGAAGTTAGGAATAAAAAGGAAGGTCATTCTTCCCCTGTGGGATCTCAGCACCTCAGGACTGAGGTGCCGAGTCACCGAGACCACCCTTGGGGGGCTCGGGAGTCCTGGAATGTTGCCAGAGGTATCTGGTGGCTGGACTTTGATCCTACACAGGAGACGACACTTGTATGAGGATAGGAGGACTTCACCGGGGTGAATGGTGAAGGGATTAGTTAATTAGAGGGTGAGACACAGGGTTTAGGATTTCTGTACAGGGGGGTTTAGAGAAGTAAGATGGAGGAATTGGGGCGTGTCCTGTCCTTCTTCTTCTTCTCCTCCATCTTCTGTGGTGATGGTGGCACTTTGGGATTGGTCATTACTGAAAGTGCACCGGACAATAAGAATAAAAAGGATTGGGGAAAAATGATAAATATTGTACACGTAACTATGGGTATAAAGATAGGTGACTGTCCGGAGGGCAGACAGAGTGTGCTCATGGCTGGCTGCTGAGCAGACCTCTGTTGGGCCGAAAGAAAATCTTTTAGATAAACATTTAATAAACATAAAGACCGAAAGAAGAACTGAAGCCTCTTCTCGTCCTTTGATACGCGGGCTGCCCCAAGGCCACTCCGGGCCTTTCCAGGCCCTTCAAACAGCCGAAAACCGGACATTCCCCTGTACTTGGCACTGGTGAGGCCACAGCTTGAGTGCTGTGTCCAGTTCTGGGCCTCTCAGTTTGGGAAGGACATTGAGACGCTTGAGTGTGTCCAGAGGAGGGCAACAAGGCTGGTGAGGGGCTTGGAATACAAGTCCTGTGAGGAACAACTGAGGGAGCTGGGGGTGTTTAGCCTGGAGAAAAGGAGACTCAGGGGTGACCTTATCACTCCCTACAACTTCTGAAAGGTGGCTGTAGTCAGGAGGGGTTGGTTTCTTTCACCAGGCAGCGACTGACACAACGAGAGGACACAGGCTTAAGCAGTGTCAAGGGAAATACAGGTTGGATATTAGGAAAAGGTTTTTTTATGGAAAGAGTGATAAAGTTCTGGAATGGTCTGCCCAGGGAGGTGGTGGAGTCACCATCCCTGGATGTGTTTAAAAAAGACTGTATATGGCACTTGATGCCATGGTTGAGTTGAGGTGTTAGGGCATGGGTTGGACTTGATCTTGAAGATCTCTTCCAACCTAGTGATTCTGTGATCCTCCTCCCCAGATTCTTCTCCTAACCTTTACTGAAGCATCCCTGAGTCAGGTGACAGTACAGAGCTGTCAGGATACAAAGGCCTTGGCCTACACAAATTTGTTACTAGTATACCTGTTGTACACTGTCATCATTTTCATAGTGGCTAAACCTGTAAGTAAGCTTGCTATTTAAACAGGGGGCTCTATACAGTTATGTTCTCCTGTCTCTATCATCCCTTTGATTTCCATCTGGTTCTCCTTAGTCTCCAAAGCGGAGCTCTCTATTCAGATGGCCATGCTGTCCCCAGGTATGTTTCCTGGTTGACTTCCTGCTTCAGAAAGGCAAATCAGCATTTTTAGTTCCTCTTTCCTTTAAAATGAGCAATTTCTTCTGGCATAACTGGTGAAGTACATTTCAGTTAAGAAAACAATGTCTATGTTTCTGAAATAACCCTGCTTCACTTTCTGAACATTACAAATAGAACAGACATGACATAAATTCTGTTGGCTAAGTGGTATTTTAGGGAAGTGCCAGTGACCACTTCCTTTTCTTACACATGTGTTCCGAGCTGTCTGCTGGTTCCTTGGAAAGCTTTTCTTGACCAGGAGAAAGGCAAGACATTAATGGTTTAAGATTCTATGAAAGACAAGAAATGAATCTTTAAGAAGGACAGATATTTACTTGTAGAAATGAAAATACAGAGTACTGTTCTTCAGCCATTTTGGATATGAGCTGTCTTACTGCAAGACAAGGAGGCTGACCTACAGCATACTTAAGTGACATTTTAAACTATGACCATAGTAGAGGAAAAATGTTAATTGCTCAGTTATCCTGGACTTAGTAAATCTAGAGAGGAGAAGAAAACCAGCAAAGCTAAGATAGAATTGAGGAAAAAAAAACCCTTGATCTTCATACTTTAGGCATTAATAGAATTGTCTATAAAATTCCTGTTAACTAAACCCTTGCTGAATTGATGAAGTCAGTTGTATTACTGAAAGGTCCCAAAAAGTGTTACCAAAATGCAAGGAAACTGAATAGGGAAGAGGTAAATACAGCCTGCAGAAGCAACTGAGAAGACATAAATAAGACAACTGGCCCTTTTTTAACCTATTATGCCAGTACTTAAATACCAGCCAGAGATTGTTGTATGCAGGACTAAATATGAATATTATTTTAAAAAAAATCAAATCATCAATCTCACTCTTGCACAACATGCAGTCTGAAAGTGGAGTGATGCATCAGTGTTCAAACTGCTTCACTAAGAAGAAAATGAGATAAACAATTGTAACAAACATCGTCATTTATCAGATTTTGGTAATATCTGCTAAGAGACTTGTAAGTGAGGGCGATCTGCAAGGAAAGCTATGAAAAACATTACTGGAAGGCTTAACTTAAAGCTGGAGGCTTAATTTAAAATTCTCCCAAGTTTGTTTCATTTCCTGTGGTCTCGCTGGTCCATGTAGAAGCAACTTTTAGAGGGACAACTGGCGAACAGCACCGCAAGAGTTGAACCCTGCTGCCTCCCCAGACAGCTACAGAAAATGGTATGAAGAAGACAGGGAAACAAGGAATGCTGAAAATAGTAATGCAAATCCTACTCCAAAGTAAACTGATGAATCAATTAGAAGATACTGCCCACACTATATTTTGCAGAGTGCTAAAAGGGCTGCAATGTGGTTTGAAAATGGAAAGGGAACTGGAGGAGGGAGAGCGGTTTTCAGGAGTAAAGAATAATAAATGGCAAGTAGATAAGGAAAGCAAAATTCTCCAGTTTATGATACCTACCTGAGTGAAGCAGTTATTTCAGTGTGTTGGAGCAAGTACCATCAGTCCTGTCTCTGAAGTGACTGAAGAAACTCTCACATGACATTTTAGGAACTGCATTTTTTTTCCTGCATGCATCCTGTATGTGCCAAGTGTGTTCTTTCACCCTGATAAAATGACTCATTTGAATGTAATTTTGAGATCTGGATATCATCTGCTCATAAAATAAACAGTCAAACCACAGGAAGTTTCTCAAAACTGTCAAAACAAATAGTGCTCAAAATAAATATTAATAGATTTATAATCACAAACATATACTTTACTATATTCAGTAATATAGTAAAGACAACTGAATGACATCACCTGTTGACACAGTGTGACCTTTGCAGGAAGTAATTCTAAGTCCAAACCCTGCCATGTTGCTGTGAAATGTCTGATCTGTTATTGTCTTGTAGCCACTTCTATATCTTACAGGTCAGCACGTTCACCTAGCTAATCTCATTTCTAGGATTCTTCCCAATCCAGATCAGCCTCTGTCCCAGCTTGAGACAGTTCGCTTCATCAAATACAGAGCACTGTACTCATCAAACCATGACTAGTCATGACAAAAGGATTTTATCCTGCCTTTTACTTTTTAGGGTATTAAAAGTCTATTTTTTAAAAAGGAACTTGACAAAGAGTTAGAAACTTAACTTAAATGGTGATTTGCACAAAATGTGGCAAGACAATAAAAATGGAAGACTTCCAGGGCAAGGCATTTCTAAATGTTTAACAAGGGGGTTTCCCCTCGCCCTTCACAATTTGGGAAATCAAGACTGCTTAACAGAAATGAAAAAGCCCAGACATACAAGAATCAGCCTCAGTATTTTGGTTTTGGTCTGGAAAATGAACTGTGACAGAGCAGACTTCTGCTCCTGAGCGTGTCTGTGAAAGACACAGATGCTGCCTCCAACACAAAATCAGAGAAAGGAAGACAGGCCAAGGCTGAGCTGTACCCACAAAGATAGACAGACAGGCTGTCAGCAGCCTGCCAGGAAAATTCCTGTAGCTTCATCTCATTCTCAGCTGCCATCCTGCCAGGGGGACTCCTCGGGCGCAGACAGGCAGTGCTGATGGGAGCTTACTGCTATGGGCTCCTCTTGGCTGAGGGACACAGAGCAGGGTCACCACCATGGGACCTGCCAGTCAAGCCCTGCCTTGCTGGAAGGTCCTTAACCAGTTCTGTCCTCCAGGTTAAATGTTCTGTTTCAAGATTTCAACCTCTCTGATGAATCCTTAAAAAAAAAAAAGTAATAAATAAATAAAAAATTAAACTTTGGTGGTTATTGGCAATGCTTTGTATATTTTTTGGTCCAGAGATGCTTGTTTGAACCAAGCTGAAGAATGTTATGTTCTCTGCTCAATGGAATTGAATGGGAGATGTATTCCTGGCATTCTGGTGCTGCTTGTGAGTCTTTGCTCACATGCCTTATAATAGTTGGCCCTTTGCCACTCCCTCATCCGAGACGCTCTCCTCCTGGAGGGACCGTAGGAGGGCTGTGGCACGCTGAATGACAGCACTGTGAAGAGGGAGGTGAAACTTAATGCTGCTAATTGTGAATCACTGAACTTGGAAAAGCAGCCCTAACTATGCACACGGAGATGTGTACTCCCAGTAAGTTATTAGTGCTCAATGAAAAAATTTAGCAGTCACGGCAGGAAGTTCTAATGAAAAATTAAGTCAATGAGCAACTCTATCCAAAAGGTAAATGTAAGTTTCTTCTTGAATTCTGAATGCTGTACTGGTCCTTGATCTTAAGAAGTTCTAGAACAAGAAAAAACATAAAGAATAGTGACTAGACAGCCATGACTGGGAATGGCTCTGTCTGCATTAACTAATGCTATTTCCCTACTGGGAAAATAAGCAAATAAACAAACAAAACAACCCTCCAAAATAAAAACAAACACACACCCCCAAAACCAAACAAAAAATCCCAAAACCCCAAACAAAAAACCCAAAACAAAAAGAAAAAAACAACAAAACCAACAAAAAGCCCCCAAAAGCACAAAAACCCAAACAAAACCCAAAAAAGCGAACCAAAACAAACAAAAAATCAAACCAAAACCTCAAACCTAGTGATGTTTCAGTGGTTATTTTTGCCTCAACACCTCCAGGGATGATGACTCCACCATCCCCCTAGGCAGCCCGTTCCAATGCTTGACATGGAATGCTCAGACATGGCTTTATGTAATTTTTAAACTTCTCTTATGCCTTTTCTTCCACTTTTCAGAGTAAACACTGGTACTTTTTGAGACTTAGTCACAGGATGGTGCACAGCGCTAAATTTCAATACCAGTCTCCTCTGAGAAGCCACCATTAAAAGAGTGGTTTAAATGCTGCCAGCCTCATCATTATTGACAAATAAACTAGTATCTACACCCTTTTTGGGGGAAGACCCACTCCTGAAACTAAGCTTTGCGCAGCTGCCATTTCCATCACTTCCAGCAGCAAACCCTGTCGTGCTCTGCGCCGCATTTCCATTTTGGCTTGCTCTTTTACCAAAAAGCCACCTAATCCCCGCAGCACAGAAAGAACATTGGCACTGAATCCCTCAGAGCGGCAAGGAGCAGCCCCGGGGGATGCAGACGAGCAGGTCGATACCGTGTGGCGGCACAACCAACCGCGCTGCCCCCGCCACCCCGCCCGGCCCTTCCTTCCCGCTGCCCGGCACTCCAGGGCATGGCGCCCCAAACAAACATGGCCGCGCCAGCCCCGCCGCGGCACCTGCCAGGCCCCAAGATGGCGCCGGCCGCCGCTGCTGTGTCAGGGGCGGCTCCAAGATGGCGCCCTCTCGCCCCCCTGCCAGCACCCAAGATGGCTCCATCCGCTTCACCGACGTGGCCCGCGTCTGGCGCGGCCGCGCCGGCGCCCCCAGGCGGTGTCTGCCCTCATCAAAGATGGCGGTGGGCAGCGCCGCTGGTCACTAGGCTCCCGCCGCTCGCTCCTCGCCGGGCTCCGCGGCCGACATGGCGGCGTCCGAGCTGGAGTACGAGTCCGTTCTCTGCGTGAAGCCCGATGTCAACGTCTACCGCATCCCGCCGCGCACCTCTAACCGCGGCTACAGGTGAGGGAGCGTGCGGCGCCCGCGATCGCCCCGGCGCGGCCCGGCTTGCCTCGGGCCCTGCCCGCAGGGCGGCTGGGGGCTGGACTGTGCCCGTGGCCCGGCCTCGTCCCTTGGGAAAGCCGCGTCCTGTGGCCGCGAGCGGGTCTGGCCGTCCCCTGAGCCCCCTCCTGCCGAGCTCCGGAGGAGCCGCCGGCTGGAATTGCCGCTTGTGGCAGGTGGTGAGCGCCTGAAGGCAGGGGAGCTTCCGCACCGCGCTGTGCGGGAGCAGGGGCTGCTCTGTTCATCAGCGGCAGGAGGCGAGGGTCAGCCTGCTGTTCCCGGCAGAGCTCACGGCTGCTCCCGGTTTGCTCCCGGGATCCCTGGGATGGGACTGATGTGCTGTAACGGCACGTTGGATTTGGCCTGGTGGCTCTAGCAGTGGCTGGGAGGAAAGCAGGAGTAATTCGGGGTGATTTTTAAGAAGAGGCTGCAGAACCAGCAGTTAGAAATGCCTTCTCTGGTCAGGCAGAAGCAGCAGAGTGTGAGTTTGTAAGATGTGCCCACAGGCCTGCTGGAGGAGCGGGTTTGTGAACTCCCTGAACCTGACAGACTGTAGGCGGATGTTGTGCCTGGCCAAGGATGTTTGTTTCCAGTTATAAAATCCGGTAGATTTTACAGCACCAAGGCTGCCAGAGTTCAGGAAGCGTTTGGACAATGCTCTCAGGCGCATGGTGTCATTTTTCGGGTGTCCTGTGCAGAGCCAGGAGCTGGATTCAGTGATCCTCATGGGTCCCTTCCAACTCACAATATTCTGTGATGCTGTAGGTTGGGTTTTTTCTCACTTTCCTTTTTTTTTTTTTTCTTCTCCTTCACAAGAGCCTGTGGCAGAGTATGATGGGTCAGTCAAAATGTCTGTGTGTGTGTGTTTTGCCTGGTGTAAGTCAGCTGCCTCTAGGCTATGAAGTACTCAGTGTTATTTTACAACCACAGGGTAGAATAATGGAGTGTCTTTTCAGCATGTTATGAATTAATTTTTGGGGTCTTCCCAATGCTCACAAGTCGCTTTTGTGGATTTCCTGTTCAAGTGAGTTTCTGTGCTTCTGTCTCCCCTTTTTTGCAAACTTATAAGGATGAGGAGTTGATGCTCTCTGGACTGTGTCTCTTTCCCTTTGCCCAGAGATGCCAGATGTGTCAGCTGGCAGCAGCAAGAGAGGAGCCGAGACCCCATGTGTTTTTTGGGGAGGGAAATGGCATGAGGCAGCTGCAGGGCTTGAGGGATTGGGGGCAGAGACTTCTGCTGAGGTGGCTGGGCAGAACTGGAGAGGGTGACTGTGGTCAGTGTTCAGCTGCTCTTCCTTTCAGGGCGTCTGACTGGAAACTGGACCATCCTGACTGGACAGGGCGGCTTCGTGTCACCTCCAAAGGCAAAACCGCTTACATAAAACTGGAGGATAAGGTTTCAGGTAAGGGAAAAGCTGTGCCCCCCAAGGCTGTGACTGGGATTGTCGCCCCCAAGCCTGCCCAGAGCTGTGCATGGCAGCCCTGGCCACACTTTAGGAAGGGTTTGCTTTTTTTAACACCTGATTCTTTGTCTGCAGGAGAACTTTTTGCCCAGGCTCCTATAGATCAATACCCTGGCATTGCAGTGGAGACTGTGGCAGATTCCAGCCGCTACTTTGTCATTCGAATTCAGGATGGGACTGGTGAGTTGGGGCCAATGTAAGTGCCAAGTGCTAGGGGTGGAGGAGACCCAGGTGGAGCTGGGAGTGTGCCAGGAGGATGAAAATGGTGTTGGGAATGCTGGAAAGGCCAGGTGGTGTTCCTGGAGGGGTCTGAGGACAGGGTAAGCAGAGGAGGTTCTCTACATTGCACAGAGCCCAGGGGCTGGGCTGGGAAGGAACATGTGGTTTCCAAGCATGGCCTGTAGGAGGAAGGGAGCATCCTGAAGGCTGGGGACAATGAACTGCTGTGAGCTGCTGGCTTCCATCTATCTGCAGGTGTGTCAGAGAGAGTTAGCACAGAGGGGTTTAGGACAAGCAGAGGGATTTGTGGCCCAGTTGCAGGGCACCTCCAGTGACTCCTCCTGTCTCCTTGCTAGGACGAAGTGCATTTATAGGCATTGGCTTCACAGATCGGGGTGATGCTTTTGACTTCAACGTCTCTTTGCAGGATCACTTCAAGTGAGTTTTGCTTTTCTGGAATGCTATTTTTCCTCTGGCCTGTAGAACATGGTGGGTGGTGGTGCATGTTCATTTAGCACAGGTTTCCTTGGGGTGGCCCTGAAGCCCTGCTCTGGCAAGGGACACTTGTGTGTGCTGCAGGCGGTCATGCAAGCTGACAGCCCCTGCAGGTCAGATCTGTAAGTCTTAAGCTTAGGTCCTGTGATGCTCCAGGTGCAGTGTTAAACAGCTTCATGGGTTTGTGGTGGTTCCAGCTTTGTGCTGTGTGACACCAGGAGTAGGGAGGTGGGTGGTTTGACAAGGCAAAGTAGTTAGGTGGGATGGAGAGAGAAACCACATATTTTTTTAAAACCTTTTTGCCACAGGGTCTCATGTTTTAACCTCTTCTTTTTAGGTGGGTGAAGCAGGAGACTGAAATCTCCAAGGAGTCTCAGGAAGCTGACACACGTCCCAAATTAGACTTAGGGTTTAAGGAAGGGCAGACCATCAAACTAAACATTGGGGTAAGCAGACCAGTTACCCCTGCTTCTTTGTCTGGATGTGACAGTGGAGACTCTTCCTTACACTTTCTTTTTTTTTTTTTTTAATGCAGAACATGACATCAAAGAAAGGAGGAGCAGCCAAGCCCCGTGTGTCTGGATCAGGGGGCCTAAGCCTGCTGCCACCCCCACCAGGAGGCAAAATTGCAGTCCCTCCTATACCTCCCCCTTCCTCCACAGCCATTGCCAACCATGTCACACCACCACCTGTGCAGAAATCCAGTAATGCAAGCAGTGCAGGTAAACCTTAGCACTGAGCCTGCTGGTGTAACACACCAGCAGGTGCTGCTTCAGTAAACTGTGTTCAGCCTAGTGCCAGCTGTGCCCTCTGAGACATGATGTGTCCCAAGGATTTTGGTCTCTTTGGCAGCTCCAGTGTCCCCAGTGCAAGAAGGATGTGGACCTGTTATACTGGGTCCAGAGGAAGGCCATGGGAATGGTCAGAAGGCTGGACCAACTCTCCTGTGAAGAAAGACTGAGAGGGTTGGGGTTGTTTAGCCTGGAGAGGACATGGCTCTGGGGAGATGTTTCACTGTGTAAAGAGAGCTTGTAAGAAAGATGGAGAAAGACTTCTTACCATGGCTTGGAGTGACAGGGCAAAGGGTAGAGGCTTAAACTGAAAGAGGGTAGATTTAGATTGGATATAAAGAAGAAATTTTTACCATGAGAGTGGTGAAGCCCTGGAACAGGTTGTCCAGAGAAGGAGTGGATACTCCTTCATTTGAAGTGTTCAAGACCAGATTGAACAGGACTTTGAGTAACCTGATTTAGTGCAAGATGTCCCTGCTCATGGCGTGGCAGTGGGACTAGATGAGATGATCTTTGGAGGTCCCTTCCAATTTAAATCATCCTGTGTTACTGTAGCAAAGAGGTGCTGCAGTCTTCTGGAGGCTGTGTTTAAAGTGTGACCATGCAGAGGTGTCTGGAGAGCTGATGATCCCTTTGTGAAGGCAGAGACTTCAGCAGTGCTGTCCATGGGTTTGAGTGAGAATAAACATTAACTTCTGAGTGCGGCTCATGTGATCC